TAAAGTTAGCAACAAATGAAATTGCAGAGCAAATCACAAATCACTATAGCAGCATAGCAGCATGTTGTTCCATTTCATTTTAAATTAAACATTTGATCTTAAAAAGATGAAGGTCATTTGATTTGCTCAGTTGTACTATACTGTAAAGCAAATGTAATTCAATTCTTGAATTGCTCAAACTTGGTTGTGATTTGTTATACAGCTGTTGTTAAAAGTGTACAGACATTTATCTTGTACAATTGTGGTAAGACATTATCATTAATGGATTTTGAAAAATTTGACAATATTCAACCACCACTAAAATTGAAGAGGTTTAAATTTGAGAGAAGACGGGTGTTTTGCTCCATGTTTTCACAACAAACATAAAAACTAAATCATTTATTTGAACAGTTTGCTGTCTCCTGTACAAGCACTGTGCTCTGTCTGAGGCAGTGTAATGATATAAATTACACTCACAGGTTCAAAAAAATAATCACAGCAAGGTTATTGTATTCTCAGGTGTGTACCTGTACAGCGCTCTTCCCCCAATAGTTGCCAGGTTGGAGAAAACATTCAAGTCTGTCATGTTGTCAGGCCAAGACTGGATGTTCAGAAAGCCTAAATGGGGGACAGACACAGACACACACACACAAAGAGGATTTTTTAATGACTCACCGGTGTACTGACTGTCTATCATGTCCTCTATTTCACACAGTGGCAACAATAAAATGAGCAGGGTGAGTTGGCATCTCTGTGAAATTAGCAGCATGCCAGGGACCACAGTACAGTAACCGCACCACCTGAGTCTCATCTGAAAGCAGCCAAGCACAACTCAGAAAACTGCCATAGGCATGGCAACCCCCGAGAGAGGAGCTCAATGCCAGTTATGCCTGAGTGTAAAGTTTGATTTATCAATATTTTTTTGCATTTTCTTTATCTGCCACTCTACTTTTGAATAATTCAAATGATTAAATGAATAGCTAAGAGGATGGCTGGAGTTCATTTAGTATTTTCAATTATGGATTCAGAAATATAAAATATTTAGCAGAAGAACGCGAGGAGGGTACAGTCCCCTCGCTAATGCCAGATGACAAACAAAATGGTTGGATGAGGCGATGGGACCACGGGTGGCAGGTGGAAGAAAAGAGGTGGAGAGGATGGAGAAAAAGTAAGAAAGATATTCACAAAATTACTTGAGCATTAGAGGCCACATGTCTGCCTCCATGACAGAGGAGGTGGTTGATGGGTGAGGGAAAGACCCCATGGGTGTGATGGGCAGTGCTGTAAGTCCTCCAATCAATGAGTAGTATCTGACTCCATTATATTACACTGCGTGTTTCCTTCCCACTGGACAAATCATATTGTTTATTCATAAAGGGAGGGGAGTTGTGGAGATACATGTTGACAAGGGAGCAATAACCTTCAACAGCACCTTATTCAGTTCATGGACCATCGTTTTGTGCATTTTGTTTTTTTTTCTATTTCAATCTCAGGTGAGCAGGGTCTGAGCGAATGTTTGATGAGGAAATGAGCGAGCGAGCGAGCGAGAGAGAGAGAGAGAGAGAGAGAGAGAGAACGTCAGGTAATTGTGAGGGAGCACACACCAGGGCTCCTGCAAATGGACATGGGCTGAATTTGATGCATGCTCTCACACCGATACCGAAGAGGTTTAAAACAGGGAAGCAGAGTAAATCCAATATAATTACCATTTTTGGAAATGGAAAAAAAAAACAATGCATATAATAGTTACTATACTTTATTAGACTTTTTACTCCTTCACCTCTTTTCAAAGAGAGGGCACGACATTGCTGTAATACCATTATAATGGAACTGTGATGAGAATTCTTATTTTATATGTTTTATGTGATAATTACACAGAATATTAACACCCACTGCAGGAGAAAAAAAGAAAAAAAGGAAGCAATTGCATTTGATTCTAGTTTTTGTCCAGGTTGTTTATTGCTTTCCCGTTCCTGACTTCATGGTGTGTAGTTTTAGGATGGTGAGCGCAACCTCAGCCCAGAGGCAGCAGTGCTACACAATCGTTAGCCTTGTACTTGTCGACACTAATTGTCTTAATGACAAAACCTGCAGTGCCGAGGCACCTCACAGCTCCGTCATAATGCTCTTTTGGGGGGGAGGGTGGGGGTAGTGCGGGTGCTTCCTAATCAAGGTAACAAGCCACTGCCTGCTGCACACTTGTCTCTAGCTAATGTAATACTGCATTAACATCACACACAGGCTTTGACCTGCACAAGGTGGTTACAGACAACTGCAGGTTTGTAAAACTTTTATTCTGAAAGCTGCATTTAAAAAAAAAATTGGACAATGGGGTTTTGGCCTGAAGGTTGTACATTTGTATTTCTGAAATGACTTAGTGGTGAAGGAGGGGAAAAGAGAAATGGTCATCTTTCTTAAACAAGTCTGTCAAGATGACCTTCAGCAAAATATTGATCACCTCACTCATCATGGGGCTGAAAGACTCTGATTATATATTCACTCTTTTTAGTGTTCAACATGTAAAGTTTCAACATAGTGAAGAAAACACAGAAAGAGAAGATTTTCATGTCCAGGATACAAAGATGATCAAAATAAACAACCAAATAAATTAACAATGACTAAGTTTAAATAGACACCACTAACACAGCCTTGTCTTATTCTGACTGTTTAAACAGCATTCTCTGCTTACCATAATATTTTACTTGGAATATGCAAGAATTGAATTAAGACGTGAATAATTATGTGGACATGTCATGCTTGACGCCACATGACCTGGGTGTAAACAAGATGGAAGAGTAAAAAGGAGTTGTAGCCTTTCCAGAAATAGAAAGACAACTAAAATGGTTTACTGTAGCGTCTTACATTGAACTATTTCAGGTTGGGCCTTTAAAACTGGAGAAAACATCAGACGCGGTTCAGTGTGCACATCATTTCTATGTGAGTCATAATTGGGCCATGCTGTGTAACCTGTAAACAGGAATATGAATGGAATATTCTGTTAGAAAGTCATGTAAACTCCATAATCAAGATAATGTCTCATTCTGAAAGAGTTTGTCAGTGTCCATGTAAACATATAGACAATGATTAAAAAAGGACCAAAAAAAAGAAGATTTTGAGGTCAAATCTATGAGTATAGTGAAAATCTTTAAGGTGTTAGATGAAAACCTTATTATTGGTTTTGGTACTTTCATGTTATTTGATGCATACGACAAGATCTCTCTTTAACGAATTAATAGGTTCATGTATCTGAATCTTTGCCTGCCCATAAACCTAAATGACCACATCTCAGGAGATACAGCTGGCACGAAGGATTTGCTGAAGCACCTCGCTGAGTGGTTTTGTGCAGAAAAGGCGAAGTGAAAAGACCGGTTATTTGCCACTGAGAGACACATCAGTGGCACACCAATGCACACAGCAAATTACAGTGCGGAGCCAATTAAAGAAGACGGCCATGAGCTCAAAAGCAAAGGTTAAGAGCGCTTACATTGGGATGATTACATTCTGAGCCACAACAATGAGAAACCCACCTATGCTGAAGCGCTTAAGCACTCTTTGGGTGAAACCTGACCTGGTGATATGTCTTTAAAGATGTTAATAAAAAAACAGAGAGTGAGATTGGAGAGGGACTGGAGAGGGACAGATGGACGTGTTGTTGTGTAGGATGAGAGCTGTCCTCCCGCACAGCTCATTTGAAAGCAAGAGCAATGCTGGTTGTAACCCCAGGGTCACAGAGGCAGGTTGGCTGCCTCAGTCAGCGGTCACGTTCTCTTGACAGCTCGGAGAGATGACAAGCCCAGCTGACACACATCTCTGACTACATGGTGTTTGGCCAATGGTTGGTCCACGTCACCTCCTCTCAAGCTGCCATCACAAACCGAAGCAGAGGGAAAACAAAACACCCTTGGAAGCCAGGTTTTTGAACTAGTCCAGGCAAATTTTAATTAAATGTTTGAACGTGCATTTAGAAGACATTGCACTTGTGGTCATTGCTGCAGATAAAAATTAAGGTGACTCTGGCTGAATATAAAGCAATACGCTTAAAAAGCAGACCACGTAATTTGCTGTCCAATTCAAACAGTCCGCACTCACAATCTGATGAGATTTACACAGACAACAGCTGATTATGCACGTTTATTTCATCTGTCCTACCTTGGATATTTTGCATTTTGCTCAGTCATCCTGAGAGGAAATCTGTTTAAGACCAAGCTCAAGGTTTATTCAATGATCTCTGTCACGCTGATACAGATTTGTGGTCTTGTTTTTTGATTGTTACATCAGCGTATTTCCCATCTGATATCTTTTTTTGTTGTCATTCAGTTTGTTCTCATTGCAAAAGGTTCAAGTAATTTTCAGTGAGTGGATCACAACTTATTTCCAATGCCAAACCAAATGGAAATGGACACATTAAAATAAATTGATTTTTGATACAGAATTTGGCACAAAAAAATTCAAGCATTCTTTGTTTTTGAACAACAAAGCAGCTGTTTTTATAGCCGAGTCTCAGAGGGATATTTAGATCATAAATCACAAGGATGCGATGGCACCACAAAAGCGGTAAAGCTGAGCAGGTAGAGAAACTCAGAACGGGCCTTAATCAACTACATTTATCCTGGCTCTTAATACATTGTTCATTTATCTTCACAAATATTGCATTTACAGAATAATTACCATCAACTACACTTGCAGTTCCTTTTTATTAGTTGCAAAGGAGGCAACTAAGCTGTTTTCCAGATTTTCTTTTTTACAACAATAAAGACAATAACAGACAATGACCTTCAGACATCATCATATTTAAGTGGATATGTCTTTTCACGGGGAAGCTGTAACTGGGGCTCCTGATTAATCAAACTTCTGATTTGTAAACCCCCGTCATGACTCAAAAACGTCACTAACAATATTCTACTGGAAGATTCTCTGCCACATCGGCGATACAAGGCTTCTCTCTGACGGCGTTGTCAAATGTCTAAGCTGGAGGAATGACAGCGTACATGTGGCTCAGAGGAGGCAGTGGCATAAGGGAGCAGGAGGATTAACGATGCGCACCACATGTTCTGGATCTTTTCTTCATGGTGCGTGAAGGGAGAGCTGGGACTGAGGGACTCAAGGCTAGGGACTCCCAGAGGGAGGAGCAGCAGCAGAGACAGAGGAGATTGAAAGACTCATCTGATATTCATCTTGTGCTGCAATGTCTGTCCTTGGTGTGGACAGTCTCACAGTCCCAGGGGGGAAAAAGGTTGAGGTAGACTTGGGCAAATACACACACACGCGCGCGAGCAACCATGTGCACACTATACGGAATAAAGAGGGTGGTTGAAGGATAAAGTATTGTTATTTATTTCTATTTTTATTCATTTGCATGCATGTGTACAGATGTATACTGTACGAGTGATATTACTCACCTGTGATCTCCCGAACGGTGCGGAACACGCTGAGCTTTTCTGGGTCTAAAGCTTCGATATTGTGGTAGACGTCCCTGTGAATGACAATTGGAAATCAGAACAACATAAAATAAAAAGGAAAGAACAAAGCTTTTGCCTTTTATGCTGCACAGATAAGAGACAAACAAAGAATCTTTTTAATGACAGAGATACAAATGAGCTGAATTCACCCATGGGACACAACAGTGATTCATGTGATCTTTGTGTAGAATCTATTTACTTTAAACACAGCTCACTAAAATTATAGACTGATAACTTGCATGCATGTAGACAGATATTTAACCAAATATAATAAACGCATGTTTCCTTTGTGGTTTCACGGTGACCTTCTATACTTGTATATACCAACCAACTCTTTAAAACTCTGTAGGATAAATCATAAACACATACATACAGTCTTGTTTAGATTTAAGATTATTCAGATTTTAAAGACAAAACTCTTTAAACAAAACAAAATATGCAAATAAGTGTGATTACAGATCTACTATTTTACCTCATCTTTTATCAATCTGATGAGCTAAATGTTCTCAACACTCACCCTTTGATTCCAGTAATGAGGAACACCAGGTTGCCATTGATTTTGGTGCAATTGACAAACTTGTCAATGTTGTTGGAGTCAACAGTCTGAGCAGCCTGGAGGCTGGCTGTACCGATACCATCGCACGCTGGAATAGACAGTGAGAGGGCAAAAAGAATGAATTTGATTGAATGCTTTAGCATGCTAAAACAATGGAGATTTAAAATAGTGATAAGAAGAAGAAGTTACAAGTATTTGGCTCATTTCAGTGACTTTTTCATATTTCTCAAAAATAAAACTTTTCTATGAACCCTGTTTCAAAGGCTAATTTTCTCCCAAACTTGAAACTTCTGCTCTGTTTTTGCAGTAGACAAGAGGCATAACTTTTTCAAAAAGGCAAAAAGCGATATAGAAAAATCTGCAGATTATATGGCAAATGGGATTTGATGTTGTGATTTACAAGAAGCTGTGTAGAGGCCACTGACAGCCCTGTTTGTTTATCATGATTATAGACATAACATATCACATAATTAATGTTGTTTGTTGATGTTCATCATGGTTTGTCCTAAATGAACAGTGATTTATTACCAATACTTATATATGCTAAAAATAAAACCATAGATGGATACAAAAAAGGGGAATTAAGTAACCATAGTTTTGAAGATCTACTTGTGGGTTACCTTTTGGGCAGATGTCGGTGCAAGGAATGCACATCTTAATGCGGTTCTCCTCAACCTCCATCTTGTTGCTGGGGCACGCTCTAACGCAGGAGCTCTGGTCCACCACATAGTTATCTGAAAAAACCCAAAAACAATAACCTATTCACTGCAAATGCCAAACACAGATGGCTTCTGTTTGTCTTACTGGAGCATACGGTACAATATGTGGTGTCATGGCGTTACCCCATGCCCTGTAAGATATAAGGTGGCAAACACTTAATATACACCATTATTTGCAGCACATCAGTAGCATTAGCATGCCTGTATCATTAGGTAGCATGGTAGCTTGTTAAGCTAGTACTCACAAACCATTCAATCTTTCTAAACCGTACTGATACACAGAGTCCACAACCAATCGTCAGAAATAACCTCAACGACACACAGTTTTATTTCACAAACATTTATTGTTATTGAATGTTTTGGGCACATGTGTTTGTGATGCTATATCCACCCTCCCTCACCTTACTGCAGGGTCCTGGTCCCACTGGCAAACAGGAAGTGGGAGAGTCCAACTCCATTTATGGAGAGGGAATCTGGAGTGTACCACATAAAAGCCAGTCCACAGGGGTGTTTTAAATGATATCACAGAAATGCTCTTTTAAATGCCCATTCATGTCTCCTTCTTCCACCATGGGGCACAATATTACATGTGGCATGTGCACCTTATCACAAAAAATTACACTTTGACCAATGCTTGCAGTTATACAATGGTGTTTTCATCAATTTACACATTTTTTCAGTTATTTAATATTTCTGTCCAACTGACAATTTCTTTGTTCACCGCTTTATTCTTTCCACTTTCTGGTCGGCCCTGTTCCATTTCACTCTTAAATTTGAACTTCAATCCAAACCGCAGGGAAAAAAGCTGATACTATATACTGAACATGGCCAGTGGCTAGTGCTACGACAACAACAAAATAACAGGAATATGTTTTTATGTGAGACCCAAGACAGAGACGAATGAACCACTGATGTAATATAGAAATCAGAATATCACACTCTACTGTAGGCCACATACAAGCAACAACAAAACAGAAAAAAGACAACTCTATATTTCCGGCTTTAACCAACCCTGAGATATCCAAACCGCAGTGACTTGCATCTTTGAAGCGACAGTTTCATCACCCTATTTTTGTAACGCCACAGCATCTTATGTCTAAAAGTAACAATGCCGTCAAGTCCCACTTGCTGCTGGTTGCCCTTTTCACTGATGCTGGGAACATCATGGGGGCCTTGTGGTGGGGTTGTGCTGAGTGTTAAACTCAGTTTTGGTCAGAGAACAGAGGAGCAACACCAAGACCAACAACAGTGCAAAGCAAAAGAACAACCTGATGCTGATGCAGGCTGTTTTGTTATCACCTTTGATGAATTGGTGAATATCAAACATAACCTCAGGCTAGACATTGTTTCAGGAAAGACATCTCATCCATGGTGAATGGAATATGGATTTGCTCCATTCAATTTTTTGTTTACTGCTTTTTTTTGGAATGGTAATTTCCACTACCGAAGTTTACCCAGTATGCAAGTACAGTAAAAATACTAATCTGGCTTAGTACATGTTCATAGCTATTAACAACAGTTAGATGTTAATGGGGGGGGGGGGGGTGCAGAGAAGACACACAATTTAAAACTTTGAATATGCTGAGCTATAGCTTGAGAAATTTTCATTAGAGATTTCAAAATGACAGTGCAGTTCTTAATTTATTTGTATAACAGCCACATTGATTTTATCACCCAAATTAGAGGCAAACTTAATTAAATTCCCAGAATACCTCATCAACACAAAAGAGAATCAAAACAATTTTTCCAAATGCTAACAGCATTTCCACTTTTACAGACAGGGAGGGGAATATATATTTGGGGACTGTCCCAGCAGTACAGTTCAATAGAATTAAAGAATCTATATTGACGCTTACTAAAACACATAATGGTGTTTTTAGAAATTTTATGTAGAATAATCCTCATGAWGTTTTCACTAGTTTATTTCATCTAAATTGTATGAATTGTAGTTTTCTTTACCCAAGAAAAGGCCCTTTATATTTAAATACTTTATATTTACATTGAGGGGACCCTCTCTACAGAGGCCACCATGATTTTTTCATTAGTCCAGACTGGACAAACTAAACACATTTTGAGTTTTTATGACAACTGAAGCTACCACAGGTTCTTTTTCATGTTGGAGAGGGTGAGGTGAGGGGTTTTCAGCTGCAACATGCCATTTCAACACTAGATATCACAAAATTCTACACACTGTACCTTTAAGTTATTCATAAAAACACACATAATGAAACTAAAGGAGGTATTGTTTCTACCAAAATAGGCCCCTTGTGCCTGGGGCCCCCAAAGTCCTTTCAAACACTTGCCAGTAATATGCAGCAAGTGAGTTTCTAGAGTTGTGTGGGATTTGTAAAGTGTAAACTGCAGTACTCATGTGTGACCACACTGCAGCGCGGCAGTAGTGGAGTTGGTGAAGAGTGGAGGTGAATGTTAAGTAGCTTATTTACAGTTTAAAGGTTTTGTTAAGAGTTTGCATATTTCTGTTTTGAAAATGTCAAAGTTCTCCCACTAGGAATTAAGACATCAGGTCCTTTTCAAAGAAGAGCTGAAGTGTAAGTAAGAGCTGGGCACTGCTGACAAGAATTTTCTGTAATCGATCCAAGCGTGTATCTTCTTTGAAATGAGCAGGGATACATATTTACTATTTAATGCCTCCCTCTCACTTTCTCCGGCTGGATCAGGAGCAGGGGATTTCACTGCATATGGATCATGAACATTATTTATACGGTAAATTAGCCACAGCTCGTCCAAATGATGTGAGGCATCATTTTATTCAGTACATGTCCTGTCAGCAATACAGCTCAGCAGACAATAAAAAACACAAATAAAACATTTAAATATTTGCTTAAAAGAAGAAAAAACATGATATAAGTCAAATAGG